TATATATATATATATATATATATATATATATATATATATATTATACATATTTATATAGCTAATTTTTGCATATTGTTTCGCGATTAACGCTGGAATGTTTTAATTTTAGTTCTGTTGTCAGCTTACCAGAAGTGGCTGCCGGAATTTGCGCACGCAGAAGTGGCACAGATATGGCCGCCTTTGTAATTAAGAACAAAACATTAGGATTGTAATTATACAGTTTTTTAGATAAGTAAATTATTTTATATATGAAAAAAAATCGAAATGCATCAGTTTTAGTCCTCCAGCAAGGGGTCGATTGTGTATCTTGAAATAATGAGGTAAAAATTACAAAAGTGAGAAAATTCATTAGTGTATCTATGATTTTATTTATCAAAATCTAGTAAAATATTTTAACTTTTCATTTTCACCTCATTTCAAGATACACAACCGACCTCCAGACGTACGCAGCGGTTTATTTTATCGACTTTAAAAGTTGGCGGGAAGACGACTTTTTATCATGACGGGAAGTCGACTTTTCATCATGACGGAAGTCGACTTTTCGTCATGACGAGAAATCGACTTTTCGTCATGACGGGAAGTCGACTTTAAATCAGTGGTTTTTGCGACATTCGCCGACTTCAAGTCGACTTGAAGTCGACTTTCGTTCTTAAAAAAGTCGACTTCTCTGCTAGTCAGTTTCGGTAGAAGTCGACTTCAAGTCGACTTAAAGTCGACTTTTTGCTCTTAGGGTATTCAATTACGTGTAGTGTTATTAATGTGTTACCCCGGCCATCTAAAGCATAACATTGGCGACGAGGGAAAACTGATAGAAAACTGATAAAAACGGCGTCATGGCAGGCGAGTCGCAGCGTTTAATCCAAACGAGGACCAACATGGCATATATCCGAGATGGGAGAGATAGCTCAGAGGCTTCGAGCTTTTTCTGCTGAGCAAAATATAACCGAGACACAAAGGAAAAAAGCCATGTTCTTATATTATGGCGGGGTGGATCTACAAGACATATTCTACGCTATTCCAGACTGCGATGTGGTGACAGGAAATGAAGATCCTACGACAAGACAAAGAAGATACTAACGAATTACTTCAGGCCGAAACTGAACACGACGTACGAGCGGCATCTTTTTAGAAATATAGCGCAGAAAGAAGACGAAACGGTCGGTCAATTCGTAACACGTTTGCGTCAGCAGGCAAAATATTGCAGATTCGCTTCGGTGGACACAGAAATTTGCGATCAAATTATCGAGAAAGGTCGTTCAATGGAAGTGGTAAAAAGGGTCACTTCGCAGCGATGTGCAGAACGTATTGAGATCGAGCAGAGAAACATGGCGACGGTCCGGCTAAGGACAAGAAGGAAGCCAAGACGAGCAACAGCGCCAACAAGGAGGGAAGAAAGTCAACTACGATGAAGCAGCTAGATGCGGCGACGCCGCTGACAGAGGACGACAAATATGCGTTCGCCTTAAGAGATAAGATATGTGTATTAGAACACTGAGAGGTAGTATCAGCGAGTGTAGGGAGAATAGAAATCGATTTTTTAGTTGATTCGGGATCTCGATGTAATATTATGGACGAAAATACATGGAAATTGTTAAAGTTAAAAAGAATAAAATGTATATCGCGTAAGGTTAATAAGACCGCATTTTCATACGGAAAAAAAGACAGATTAGAGATTTTCGGTGAATTTGATTGCAAGATAAAGATTGGTAATAAAATTGCACGGGCAGTTTTTAAAGTATTTTGAGGTGAAGGACAACCGCTCTTAGGTATTCAAACGGCAAAAAAGTTAAGTATCTTAAATGTCGAAGTACATTTGCAAATTAATCAGATTGAGAATACTAAATGCGATGTTAAGTTAAATGATAAACTCTTCGAGGGTATAGGGAAATTGAAAGATTTTCAGCTTAAAATTCCGATAAATAGTTCGGTGAAACCAATCGCGCAGCCGAGAAGAAGATTGCCTTATAAAATGCGTGATTTATGGCGTTTTCGATTTGCTACTCGACCCGACTCGGTTCGCATCAATGGACGTGGAATACATACATAGATATGTATGTATTCCACGTCAATGATGCTAGAATCCTGTATACATGATGCGACCCGAGTTGGTTTGAGTCGCAAATCAAAAACGCTATTAGTCAAACAACCCATCAGTAAGCAAGGAACATTAAATTAACGTTTAAAAATATTGACTTCATGTGTATTTTTTAAACGTTTTTTAATAATATTATACACATATTTGAAAAATATTATTTTGTAATATGATTTTTCTGAATGTTGTTAAAATATTTTAAAAACGTTACAGAAAATATTTTTCAAATGTTACTCTGACATTTATTTGAGATTAATGCAACAGTTCAAAATTTCTTGTAATTTGGACTTGGAAATAACGTTGGTGAATTTTTTGTTGTTAGAATGTTATTGTTTTATATTGTGCCCAACGCTCATCGCGACAGCCATGATGCGTACATTTACGTACGATGCGTGAGTGCATATACACGCGTGTGGATCGAGCAGTGCGGAGTGCTCTTTATTTACAGTATATTTATATATAAGTAAGTAACTATTATATTCTAAAAGTTGTATATTAATAATAAGAACTCAATTAACCATATGTGCTATGAATAGTAGCTGATATGATGATTTATAACCTATAATTTAGGTTAACTACAAATAACGTTCTTTGGGTATCGGTAGAAACTATATAGTGGAATTATTTGCTATTTTCTTGCAATTTACTGCCGATTATTTTCAGCTGTTTGAGTGCGTCGAGATCATGAGCAAACGCACGCTTGTCGCGACAGCCAATCGGAAGCAGTAATAGTTCTGGAGACTGTAGTCGCATTATCTTACATATATGTATGATGCGTGAGTGCGTCATATATACGTACGTTTGTGCTTGTGCTCTCGAGCGCTTTTAATTGTATACAACATTTTTATATGGGTAAGTATTTATTATATTCTAAATCTTGCATATTAATGATAAAAACTCTGCAATTATCTAATGTGCTGTAAATTAGGTAGCTGGTGATTCAAGATCTATTTTTCGACCTATATAAGAGAGAGATTTGCAGAAGAAAAGAAATATATCAAAGTATTAATAAGGATCGAACATATTCTTGATGTACTCGGGCCGCGAGGCTGAGCAATATTCTAAGGAAAATATTGTACAAGATACAAAGATTGGACAATATCACATCCCTTTATCTTCCATTGACAATTTGAAGATATGCTAAAAACCCACTCGGCATGTTATGTTGCTGAAATATTGAAATATTCGGAAATAGTACAGAAATATTTCGTTAACATTTTATTTGTAACTATGCATCTGAAATATTTCAGAAATGTACCTGCATCATGTTTTTTATAATATTGCATTAACAATATTTCTGAAATCTTTTAGAAAGTTGTTTACAATATTTGTAAGTGTCTGTAATATTGCAAAAAACTGTAGCAGATGCAATATTTCAGAAATATTTCTGAAACATTATAAAAGTAATATTACGTTTGCATTGCACAAATAATATTGTATTTCTGTAACATATCATTTCTGCAACATTGCATTTAAAATATTTCTGAAAAATTTCTGAAGGGTTGCGTATAGGTAATGAAAAATTGAATTGCAGGCAGTGAATTTCTACAATATTGCAGAAGAAATATTGCAGATGTAATGGTTTAGAAACATTTCTGATACATGATAAAACTATTATTTACATTTAAATTGCACGCGTTATATTTTTGAATGTTTCACATACAACATTGCATTTGTAATATTTCCGAAAAGTTGCTGACAGACTTTAGAACTTATAAAAAATTAAATTTATTATTACATAATTACTACATTTTATTGCATTTTTTCTCTTTTATAATATTAAGAATTTTCTAATATTCCAAATTTTGTCATATGGCATTTTTAATATAAAATATAAAATACTTAATAATATTTAATATAAATTAATATTCGACGTTGACTGGCAAAAAAGATTTATTCGTATATCTGTATTGTTAATATTGTTATGCGATAGCTTATGATCACCAAAATAAGCAAATAGGGGAGACCGGGGCTAAACCGCCAGCGGGGTTGAACCGCCAAATCAAATATCTCGTAACCTGTATATTGTGCGAACTCACTATTAACATTGTAAATGCTGCTTATGGTATCCATGTAATCAACGGAGTTTCGGCAGGTTACCTGCCGTGTTATGATTTTTACGAGGGCAAACGTGTTTTCGGAAGGTGAAAGTGAAATTTTGTGCGCGTGAAAATATTGTAATATCGGCAATAATATTTGCTCTCCAAATCTCGAGGTACGTGATTATAAAGAGT